ATTTTTCCTATTAACTAGCTTAGTAAATTAAGTCATAAAACGATTTTGTATATTAACTATAAATAAGTACATTGTTTTCGGGAATTATTCCCGTTATATTTCGTATTATCATTTGTATATTATTATATGTATTGCAGACTTATGTACATAAACATGCTACCGGTATATATACATATACATACATTTACATAATATGCTACAACATTCTTTTATTTACAATTTATCAGTGGCAACATAAAGTAAATCGTGTTCGTGTCTTTAGTGAAAATTAAAATTTATCCAGCCCTTTCGAAAATTTTAATTTCCTCTATGTTTTTCGGTAAGTACAATTGTATATATACATACATACATACCAGGGAAGCCAACTCGTGGGGAATTCCCCGATTTGCGGGGAATTTCAGTTTGTGTGGGGAATCGGGGAATGGACCGTTTTTTGAGGGGAATTTCAGCTCGTTCAATTCTAGTATAATAAAGTTTCAAATGGCTAAAAATTACAGTTGATTTTTTAGAATTTTCTCTGTCTCATTTGCTATATAAAAAATTTATTTTTATATGGCAGAAACCCGCAACAGCTTCGGAAAAAATCCTAAAACGAAAATTTTTAGCCATTTAAAACTTGCACTTTATTATTCTAGATAGAGCTGGAAAACTATAGATGGCACTATCGATAGTATTTGACTAAAAAGCTCGGAATTTTTGCGAATGTTTGTTGAATTTTTTTCAAATATTGCACAAAGCTTGAAACTTGGATTTATACGGGTTTTATTAAAGAATGAACTATGTTTTTATAAAAAAATAACTTAAATTAAATAACAAAAAAATAATAACAATTTGTGCGAGTAAAACTTTTTCGACCACTGCATGTATGTAAATATCTCAAAAATATATTTTTTTTATTCTTTATTTGTTAACTAACTTTATAAAAGTTTGGTGTGCTTTATCAATGCATAGATGAATTAAGTTTAAAAATAAAATAAGATATATCAAAATACATATTTTTTTTTTGTAAGTAAGGAGATATCTATGGGTGCGGAATTTTGCGAAATTTCGGGCAAAATCGGGGAATTCTCAAAAATGAGTTGGCTACCCTGATACATACATATGTATGTATATGTATGTACATGTATGTATGTATTAATTATTTTTACATATTCGTCCATGTGTATTAGTGTGGTGCTGCTACATTTTGCTTCGATAATATGTAGTTATTGCTGGTTTTGCAGTAGCTCCGCGTGAAACGTTCATACACAAGAGCCCTCTAACACTTTTGTCATAAACATGTCATTTACTCCGTTTCTTCAAGGCTATGAGCAACGGTCAACTGGTTGATGATGTTGTTAATCTCATCACTGAAATAATTTATTAAAATAGATATCGTCACTATTAGATAATGCAAAAAATTCTATTTGACAAATTTGAAATTTTACGGGTGAAGCAAACCACTTTCTAAATTTAATTACATACATACATAAATATCGTTACCTTAATTCAAAAAGGCCCATACCAATACTTTTTTCGAAACTGCGTTTTTCACAGATTTTAGAGCTAAAACAACATTTGCGTGCACATATTTTGTTGTGACTTCTGGAGCCTATTCCATAAAGCGACAGTGATAATTTTGTAACGACAGATATTTTCAATGTTGTTAGTGACAATTCGACAGTTTGTTTGGTGGGTGTTTTGTTTCATAAAAACAATTTTCACCACCTTTTAAATTCCATAGAAAAAGTGACAAATTGTCATTGTCGGGTTTTAAAATTGTCGTTGACAAAATTGTCGCCAGCCATTAGAAATTTATATGTAAATCATATGTAAAATTGCATTTGCATTATTTTAGTTTTAAGAAATATTCAAAGTATTGAAAAGTAATGAAATGCGCGCAATTACCATATAAATAAATTTACAAAACTCTCCTGTGAAAGCTTCCCGACGGAGCTACATATTTGTTTTTGTCGCCATTGTCACGACAATTTTGTCAAAGTGACAATTGTCAGCACAATTGTCGACAATATTCCATATTAGCACTGTCGTTTTCCAAAAATTTTCATTTTATAGAAAAATCGACAATTGTCGCACCAGTTGTCACTTTTATGAAATAGGCCCTGGTATCGAAAGTGACAAAAACTGTTCTGATTTTTTTCTTCTAAATCAAAGCGATGAGATTGAAAAAAATAAAAACTGTTGCAACTTTCTTTCTTATAGCTTAGTTATGCGAATTCATATACTTAGTTAGGGTTGGGACGATACCTCAAAGAATCGATTCTTGTAGTCGTTTACCTTTCTGATGAGTCATCGATTCTTATAGGTACTCGCATTATCAACTAAAAGCATCGATACTATCGATTCTTTGATTAATTTAAAATCGTATACAATGTATACATCCTTTTATTTTCTGTTATTTAAATATAAAAAAAATATTAATGGCAAACTCGATGTTTCCCCTTCTGACAAGCCTTTCTTAGAAGAAGCACATTTTGAATGAAAAGAATGAAGAAGATATTGTTTTTTATTCAAAATATTGCCAAACTGTTGACGTATTAAAATATATTTATAAAAAATTCACTTAACGTTGATCCGATACAGCGTCTAAATTACTCTAAAATAAAGATGTGAGTGTTTTTTACTCATACACATACAAATATACACTCTAAAAAATCTGTTTAAATTAAATTAATAAGGTAGGAAATCAGTAATCTACACAATTTTTTTTAGAGTGTACTATTATCGATTTCCGCGTTAGAGATAGCAAAAATACATAAAAACTAACAAAGGCTACAACTACTGAAAATTTTGGCGTATGGTAAAGTATCGATATTTTTACTTGAGTATTTTGTTAAAAGCATCGATGGCAAAATACTCGGAAAGGAACAAAAAGTATCGCTAGTATCGTACTTGTAAGTAGTATCGTCCTATTCCTATACTTAACGTTGCGTGAGAGTTGTCACATAAGGAATCTGTTAAATGGGCTTTGCGCGTAGGCGGTTACCCAACGCATATCACTTCACATGTAGAACTCTGTTGAGTTTTGATTTTTACGTAAAAATTGTATAGCAGTGCAAAGTATGCATAACTGGGCTATAAGTAAATTTCTTTGCTTCTCGAAGCATTTATCCATACTTTGCAAACCCAGTAATCAGCAGTTGTACTGCTCTTCTATGGAAAAAGGTTTCACATGCAAATAGATTTTAAAGATTTAGAATTTTTGTGAGAAGAAATTAAAAATGTTTGATATTTTCGAGAGTAAATAATTTGAATAAAAAATCAAGTCAGCTGCTCTGCTAATACTACTTGTTCAATGTGCCTTGGTAGGATATATTAAAATACATACACCTTCAAGAAAAACATTAAAGTGTTAGTAGCAAAAACAACGGAGTTAAATTCCACTTTTTAAAAATCCCTACCCGTTTTTGATATTCTTTTTATAATGTTTCTTGTTTCTCCTATAAAATAAAAAAAATGCTGGTTAGGGCCTTTGTGAATTAAAATAACGACAAGTACAAAGGAAATGTTAGCAGAGCTTAAGATTTGAGTATGGAATTTTGGTATAAGTAGTGGTATGGCTGAGAGCCAACTAGTGGAATATATGTACATATCTATTAAAAGCCGCATATCGGAAAAAAGTGTCAAATACGATCTTTAACATTGTGTTTGGAAACATGAAGGAACACCAGCTCAATCCAAGGCGAATTCATATAAGGTGCTAGCGGTAGGACAAAAGAAAAACTTACATGTATTGGGTTTTTGCTTTCGATACACAAATGTTAGATTTCAGCTATTCTTCGCTCAAGAAGGAAGAGAGAACGAAAATTCCAACACACTCACTTATAAGAAGTTTTGACATCTGTGTACCGAGGCGAATTAAGAAGGCCTTGGCTCATTTACATATATATTTGCATAAATTGTCAGCGGTAAAAAAAGAGGTCTATTTACTTGTATGTACTTACACATTTCGACATCGATAGTAATTTCTAAGTCCAGTATACACACAGGACATCATTGAAGGTGCTTCTAATTTGGGTTGTTGTTGTTGTCGTAACGGCTGCTTTTCTAATAAATTTTCATGTTCACCATATGTCAATGTATTGCCACTTGCATTCTGCAATTTAAAACCATCCGCAGTGTTGACAGCATCGTCGTCGACGGTTTGTTGCTCGTAAGGTGAAAAGAGTTCAGCAGCCGACTTGCTTTCCCCACGCTTTCCATATCTTGAGCCTAAAAAGAAGCGATCGTTACGTGGAACCACGCTAAGTCTACGCATCTTAGAAGAGCTTAGTGCTGTGCTGCCCCCGGATCGACCATATCGGCTGCCCACAAAGAATGAAGGCCGCTTGTGTAGTATAAGTGATTCTGTGAAATAACGGGATGCAATTAATTATGCTTAAGACCTAGCTTCAAGCATGGTTAAAGTGATGAATATTTTGGCTAAGAGTAGTGACAATAAGGGCAAATCTAAAAAACTACCGATTAATCAGCCGATGCCGAGGCTAGTATCGGCCAAAACAATCGGCATCGGCCGTTTTTGGCCGATTCTGGAATGAGGTAATGTTATTTAGTTAATTGATGATGTTTTTCTTTTGTTATTATAATAGATAAAAAAGGAATTGCGCTTCAAATTAATTTACATTCCGATTGAGGAATACAAATTCATTTCAAGAACAAATGGTTTTATAAACCTTTATAATAACAAAAGAAAAACATAATCAAATAACTAACTTACATTGCCTCATTCAAGAATCGTCCAAAAACGGCCGATTCCGATTCTTTCGCCCGATATTAGCCTCGGCATCGACCGATCAATCGGCCGGACTCTAGTTTCGACGCCTTGACAGCTCATTAAAATGGCATGTCAATGAACGAGTTTTAAGTGATTTTGGTATATGATCGTAATTTTCTCCATAAACAGTTATTATTTTCTAATCTAAATGCCTGTGA